CTTGGCTTCGGACCACAAATCACTTGCAAGCCTTACTTAACTTGCCCCCAAAGCAGATGGAACTGATGAACTAGAGCCGCAGCTTAGCCACTGGACACAAGCAACTGTGAGTGTCTGTGCTTCATCAACTATGTGGGAAATGCTAGTACACCAGCGATGGGTCCCAGGAGTGGGGTAAGCCGGGAGGACCCCAAGAAAAGCTGGTTTCACAGCCAGGGCTCACCAGCCCTGTGCTTCCTAGTGTGATTACCAAGGACATCAAGTTTCCCTCATGACACCCGACTGGGAGGCATAAAATCAGCATTTCCCATTTAAGACATAGGGTCCTCCCTGCTGCGCAGTTAGCAGACCCAGTGCCTGTCAGGTGTGCCCAGGCCAGAGTCGATTGGGTCCTGGACAGCGTCAACACATTCTGGATATCTTCATCTACCTGAGGAGCCGGGCTGGGGCGATAGCACACCGGTAGGGCATTTGCCTTACACGCAGTCAACACGGCCGACCCGAGTTCGATTCCTTCACTCCTCTCAGAGAGCCTGGCAAGCTACTGAGAGTATCTCGCCCACATGGCAAAGCCTGGCAAGCTACTCGTGACGTATTCTATATGCCAAACACAGTAACAAGTCTCACGATGTTTCTGGGCCCGCTCGAGCAAATCGATGAACAACAGAAGGACAGTGACAGTGACCTGGGGAGCCAGCTTGGGCAGAGATCTGCCCATTTTCATCACACCATCTCCCAGACCAGCCCGTGACACTCAGAGCACCTAGAAAGGGTGTGGGTATAGAGATACTGCCGCCCATTCAGAGGTAAAATTTATGAGCAAGTTTCACCCCTGGTCAGGGGGTAAAACTGATCCCCCCGACCAAGACTGGAAAACTGGGGATCTGGTCAGTGTGGGCATAAAAAAGACCAGCAGCTGCGATTGTTTCATAGACCCTGGTGCAACAGATCAGAAGGACAGCCTGGTGAACAGTGATGTCAGTCTGGACTACTCACAGAAATGGCCAGACCGGTCAGCAGTCACATAAACTGCCCGGTGAAGTCCCATAAACTGGTTTTCTCAATTACACCAAATTCTGTTTCTTTCTTATTTTTTCAATTTAATCACCATGAGATACAGTTACAAAGCTGTTCATGATTGGGTTTCAGTCATATAATAGTCCAACACCCATCCCTCCACCAAGTGCATATTTCCCAATACCAATACCCCCAGTTTTCCTCCTGCCCATCCCTGCCCCTCACCTCTCTCTCTATGGCAGGCACTCCTCTCTCTCTCTCTCTCTCTCCCTCTCCATCCCTCCCTCCCTCTTTCCCTCTGGAACAGCAGCAGTTCTTTCTAGCAAATGCATCCCTGCCCTTTGTACTCCATCCTGCCTTGGAGCAGAGACTACCCCATGCCTGGTGCTCTTCCTCAAGAACCAATCGAGTCTACTAAAAATACACTGGTTCTAAGTTTTGTTTTAGGGGCACACCTGGCAGCGCACAGGTTCTTGCTCCTGTCTGTGCCTTCAGGGACCATTCCTGGAGAGATTCAGGGGACCTCATGGGGTGCCAGGTATTGAAGCTGGGTCAGCACATGCAAGGCCAGTGTTCAACCTGCTATACTATTTCTCTGGACCCACTTACTCTAAACTTTCGTTAGAAGAGCAAATTTTACAGAAGGCTGGAATAGTTCTCTATTGTCTCCCCTTCTTACGATAACTTAGAGCAACTCCTTTACTTTGAAAAATAAAGGACCCCCACCCAACACGCACACAACCCCACCCAATCCCAGCCAATGGAAAAATCAAACACAAGAAATATAAACAACCATCCTTCTTGCTTGCTCATTCTCTTCCCCAATATCCAAAATTATAAAATGAAATCATTGGCACAGTGGGGGGGAATAAAAAACTACTAACCTCTACAATTGACCAAGGAATATAAATTAACCTGAAATTTAGGCATCTGATTTTATTATTAATAAATGTTGGTAAGATTCAGGATTTGGGGTAGTTTACTTGAAAATGAACATTCACATTCTGTTAAAGGAAGTGACTTTACACACTTGACTAAATTCAATTTTGTAATAAATCAAAATTTTTAAAACTATGACTTACCAGTTTCACTTCTATGAGTTTGTTCTAATAATTGAAAATGTACTCACTCCCCAACTATATCTCTATATACATAAATATAAAAGGATGAGTATATCACTGTGGTTTAGAATAGGAAATGTTTGAAACACCCTGATCATTTATCAACATGAGACTGGTCAATTTAAATATAAAAATATAAGAAAGAATTGTCCCTGAAGAGTGATGTTAAAATTGTTTAAATTTTTCTTCTCTTTTTCCAATATTATTAATTTATTATACAATGAGCATGCGAAATTTATACTTTTTGGTTCCTGGGAAGATAGTGGATGAAGTATATTCTAGTCCTACCAGACACTTTCCTAGTACACACTGACAATCATTTATTATTTCTCAAATTAATGAGTATAAGGTACATATAATTCAAAAGAAACTATTTTTGAGAGTGAGCAGATGAGGAAAAGTCAAAGCATCATAAGCTATGCAATGTCTCTTAGATCATAGAAAACTGAAAACAGTTATCAATAAATAAATAAGTCTAGTTTAATCATCTGGATATGTTTTATTGTGAAATGGATAATGGTTAGTCAAGCAATTTAGTTGAATTAAAACTGCATCATTATTTCTGCATTAATTCTCCCACCTACACACAGTGAATAAAGCTGTAGTTTCTGAGCTATGGGACAGGTTTCACTGCCGTTACCCTTACATGGTTGCAGAGACCTCGTCAGTGACTTGTCAGAGGTTGGAGAGGCTGACTCATAATGCCATGCAGTATGCTAAAATCTCTGGGACTTATATCTAGCCACAATTCCCTATCTTAATAGCTTTATGGCTCCCTCTTGCCTTTATGCATGGGATTGTTTGTATCCTAGAGCGCTGCATGTCCCCAGAGTTTGGGCAATTTACTGCTTGTATCATACTCCACACAGCTGAAACTCTCTCTGCTGAGTTCAGCTGCACATGTTGCCGAAGGCTCTGACAACAGAATGTGCACCCTAATTCATTACTACAATAAGTACAATATGAATATGGAGCTATATCACTAAAAAGTTTTCATTTTCCTGATATAGTCATTATAATGTATCCTAAAGCCCGTATGATGTAATAAACCAATAATCTTCAAAGAAAAAAAAGTGGCAAAGAAAACACAGGTATTCTTCAAAGTTCTAGTAATTTTTTAACAGTACCAGGGATTTAAGTCAAGGTCTTATGTATGTGAGGTAAGCACTCTACCACTGAGCTATATCACTGGCACCTAAATCTAGAATCATATCCTGAAGGACATAAAATCGATTTCCAAATTATTTTTACAGGGAAGTGTAAAGTTATTTCCTTGTAATAACAAAATTGAAGTTTTATTAGAAAATCGCCCTTTAGTAAGATGTTGTTATTTATTTTGATTGAAATGAATCTAGAAACAGTGGCAATTAAAAAAAAATCCATATATCCATATAGTGAATTGGATTGGGGTGATTAGAGGGCTAATCAATTTAATAATAAAGGATACATTAAGGATTGCTGTTTTTGTATCAAAATTGCTATATTATTCATTGAATCACTGAGATAGTTACAAAACTTTCATGAGTGAGTTAAAGTCTTACAATGATCAAACACCAATTCCTCCACCAGTGTATATTTTCCACCACCAATGTCCCCAGTATCCCCCCCCCACCATCCCACCCCAACCCATCCCTTACCTCCATGGCAGGCGCATTCCTTCTTTGTCTCTTTCTGCTTTGGGGCATTATGTTTGCAATATAGATATTGAGAAGCTATCATGTTTGGTCTTTTGTCTTCTTTCAGCACACATCTCCCATCTTAAGCGATCCCTCCAACCACCACTGACTTAGTGGTCCCTTCTCTATGCCAACTACCTTCTCCCCCCACACATGAGGCAGACTTCCAAAAGTGGAACAATCCTCCTTGTCTTTACTGTCCCTGGGTATTAATCTCAGACTATGTTATTTTATATTCCACAAATGAGTGCAGTCATTCTATGTCTGTCCCTCTTTCTGATTCATTTCACTTAGCATGATATTCTCCATATCCATCCACTTGTAAGCAAATTTCATGACTTCATCTAAGAGCTGCATAGTATTCCACTGTGTAGAAGTACCATTGTTTCTTTAACCAGTCGTCACTCCAGTTGTTTCCAGAGTCTGGCTATTGTGAACAGTGCTGTAATAAACACACAAGTGCAGATGAAATGATCGGAGTTTTGCTTTATAAAAGTATTTAAAACTCTTCCCCTTACCACTTTATGATCAACTTATATTTATACAGTGTTCCCAGACTAATACATAATAGTTGGTTTTCACTAGTCAAGCTAACACAAAAAAGGTAAAAAAAAAAAAAAAAAAAAAAAACCTAAAAATTCCTCATATGACATAGACATTTCATCAAGTCCAAAATTGCCTACAATTCATCACCCTGATGGCTACACGACTGGGAATACAGGTTCCCCCTATAACCAAAAGCAAAACTTTCCTCTAGTACAATTCAGAAATTTGGGGATTTAGAAATGTTATGATCATCGATTTTCATGAAATTTTTTAAAGGAATTCCTAGAGCCCAAAAATTCCCTACGAAAACAGGAATACTCTACTTCCAGATACTGCCAGAACCCTGGGAAATAATAAATTAAAGTCAACCATGAGGTGTCTGTGCCTAGGGTGCGCCTGGTGCCCCTCTGGAGAAGGGAACTGCTCCTAATGCCGACGGGGGAAGGTGGGGAGGGGGTATTCTCCAGGGAATGCTGCAGGCGGCGTTGCCCCCTCCACCAAAGTTGGCCACCTTAAGTCCCGGCCCTTCGGCCACAGAGTCCCACGGGATTGGCTGTTGGCCGCACGCCTTCCGGTTCCGGTTGCTTCCACTCCGTTTCCGATCTGTTGCCCGGGAGACGCGGATACACAGGCAGCAGTTAGCTGTTGCCCGGGAGACGCAGGTACACAGGATCGTTGGCCGTTGCCCGGGAGTCGAGGGCCACAGAGTACAGTCGCTCGCACAGCTCCGGGACTGCGGGGTCGTGGGCACACGACCGGGGTCGCCATGAGTCAGAGGCGGGTGCTGCAAGGTAGGGTCGGGCTGAGGGGCGGGCGGGACCCCTCGGGCGGCTTGGACTAGGGAGAAACTGATCCGTCGTTTTTGTCCGCAGTGTTCGAGCAGTACCAGAATGCCCGGACCCAGTTCGTGCAAATGGTGGCGGAGCTGGCGACCAGACCCCAAAACATCGAGACGCTGCAGAACGCGGGTGAGCCCTGACCCCGAGCCCGCGGCGCTCAGTGCCACTCGGCTCGCGTGTTCGGGACCGGGTCGCTCCCCTCCCCGCCCCCCCCACCCGGCGGACTTCACCTTCTGCCGGAGCCGCGGGTCTCCCTTTGCGGCCCTGCTTTCTCCTTTTTCACTCCCTTTTCCCCCAGTCTCTTGTTGCCCAGCGCCCCTGACCGGGCCTAGCACCAGGTGCCAGTTCTCCCAGCCCAGCCCGAATCTTAGCCCAGCAAACCCATGGGGTGAGCTTTGTTTGGTGAGGTCGGGGTGGGGTAGCGGGTTGGGAGGGCTTCATCCCTAAACTCCACTGTCTTTGGGGTGAGTTGAGGCCCGGGAGTTTCAGATCAGTGCCTCCGTTTCCATTGTTATTTTTATTTATTTATGGGTGTCGGAGGTGGGGTACACACCCGGCAGTGCTCATGACTTATGCCTGGCTCTGCAGTCAGAAATTACTTCTGGAGTTGCTCAGGGGACCATATGGTTGAACCCCGGTCTGCCCTGTGCAAAGCAAATGTCCTACCGGCTGTACTATGCCAGTTCTCGTTTTTTTATTAGCACCAGGCTAGTGCCAAGTTGAGTGACAAAGCCATCCGCATTATCTTGGAGAATTTTTACCCAACCTGAAGGAATCTACTCTAATCGGACTCATTTTATTCCCTTGCCCTTACTGTCACACTGTGTGCATCTTTTGATCATTTTCCATTTCTCTATAGTAAAGGAATTCCAGAGCACTGACACTTTATGGGTTTAAGGTAGTGACAGAGCAACAAATGTGCTTGATGTTTTTTCAAGATATTTAAAAGCAGGTGAAAACTTAGCCTGTAGTATCTCCTTCAACCTTCAGTCAACCCCTTCCTTCAGCCTACCCCTTTGTCAAGTAATCAAAAGAAAAAGACAGAGAGACACACACGCACACACCCTGATTAAGGGTGATTCCATATCTAAACTCAAAGTATGGTAGCATGTATCATGAGAATTATTCATTTTTTTTGGAGTGTGATGTTTGCAACACTTAATCAAAATGAAGAGAAATTTAAGACTATGCCAACAAGGCAAATATGATTACATGCTTACTCTGAATTTGCTAGAGGGAAGTTACTACTGCCCCTAAACAGTAATTTCTTTGGGGGAGGAGTATGTACTTAAGGTAGAGAAAGCATTTTGTAAATTTAGTTTTTCAAAATTTTGATGTCAGTATTGATTTACATGCAGTTGTTAAAAAAAAAGAGAGGTTCTAAAATAGTTTATCACAAAAGGATTTTGACATTAGTAGAAGTCCATTGATTTTATTAATGTTTTCTGAATTTTACTTGTACTTATTTGTGAAAATTTTCACACTCTTAGCTTATCTCAGAGTTCATGACATGTAATTTTAAAGATTTAGGTAGAATATTCCAGGATGGATTGATTTTCCAATTTTATTTTAAAAAAATATGCTATTGACTTCATATGATATAACCAAGGAGAAAAATATCAGGCTCATTAGAAAATGATTAGAAGAAGTATCAAACATAAAATGTGATGTTTTTAAAAGCATTTTCAGCAACTTATACTTTATATTTTTAGCACTGTAGCACTGTCCTCCCGTTGTTCATCGATTTGCTCTAGCGGGCCAAGTAACTGTCTCCATTTTGAGACTTGTTGTTACTGTGTTTGGCATATTGAATACGTCACGGGTAGCTTGCCAGACTTTGCCGTGCACGCAAGATACTCTCAGTAGCTTGCTGGGCTCTCCTAGAGGGTGGAGGAATCAAACAGGTCAGCCATGTTGGCTGCGTGCAAGGCAAACACCCTACCACTGTGTTATCGCTCCAGCCCTTGAAAGATTTATATTATTAAAAATATCAAGTACCTTAAAATTTGTTTTAAATTATGAATATTTTTATTTTTATTTTTTGAGTCACAACTAGCAATGCTCAGAGGTTATTTCTGGCTCTGCACTCAGGAATTACTCCTGGAAGTACTTGGGGAACCATATGGGATGCCAGGGATTAAACCCAGGTTGGCTGCTTACAAGGAACTTGCCCTACCCGCTAAACTAGCTCTCCAGCCCCTATCAAGTACTATTAAATGACCACAAAAAAACTAATTTCAAAAACAGACACTTTCACAAAGATGTAGAAATTGTCAATAAGCACATGAAAACACATTCACCATCATTTGTGCTAGTGAAAAAAATTAAAACCACAATGAGATATTACTTCATGTTACATTGAATGGCTGTTAATAAAGTAAGAGGAAAAAAAGTGTTAGGGTGTAGGAAAAAATGAAATCCTTGTACTTTCTGTTGGGAGTATAAAAATGGTGCAACCTCTATGGAAAAGTTGAACAGTTCTTATAAAATGATGGTTTATATAATTCTGTACATGTACCTAAAGCATCTGAATTGTACATTAAATTGTTAAAATGGAATTTTTGTGTGTTTTGTTTATTTTACTACAACTAAAAACTTTAAAAATGACAAATAAAGCAAATTGCAAGGAAGAGATCAACCAATCATTTTATTTTCCCCATATTTTTTATTTTTAAATTATTTTATTGAAGTAACATGATTTACATAGTGCTCATACTTTTGACCTACAAAATTTCTGCACCATGGCCACTATCACCCAAGTGCCAAACCCCCACCACCATCAGGTCCTATTTGGCCATCTCAGCACTCCCACCCCAACCTGCCTGTTAACCTTAGCTCAGCTGCCAGGAACTCAAGGTTTTCTTTTGGATGGATACTGTCCATTCTCTTGCTTTGTTTTTCTATATAGCACATAAGACAGATGATCCAGCATTTAATTGTTACTCTTATTACATGACACACACACTAGTTCTATCCAAGGAGTAGCAAAAGGCAAGATTTCCTTTTATCACTGAGTATATAAGTGTATAAATGTACCATGACTTCATTATCTGCTCATGCATTAGCATTTGGCTTGTCCCCAGATCTTGGCTATTAAGTGCTTCAGTGAACATAGCAGTATATACATCTTTTTGAATTAAATATCTTGGTGTTCTTGGATAGATGGCAAAGAGAAGAATTGTTGGACCATATGGTATTTTTTAGAAGTCTCCATACTCTTTTTCCATATAACAGTCCCACTGACAGTGAATGATTACTTTCATCACATCCCTATCATGAATGATTGTATCTAGCATTTTAATATAAACTAACTTGTGTGAGATAAAATGTCATTGTCCTTTCGGTTTGCATTTTCCTGATGAGTCAATGATGAATACTTTTCCATATGCCTGCTGCATTGTCTCTTTGAGGAAATATTTGTTCATCTTCTCTCTACACCTTTTGATTAGGCTATTTTATTGTTGTAAATGCTATATTTTGTAAATGCTTTATCTCAAATATTCTTAGCCTTTTTCAGATGTATGGTGTTTGAATATTTTCACCCATCTAGTAGGGTGTCTTAATTTTATCCATTTTTTTCACAGTCCAAATGCTTTATAATTTGAAAGAATCCCATGTTTACTTTTGCATTTTTTTGCCAGTGAGGTTGAATTATTAGCACAGCGGGTAGGGCGTTTGCCTTGCACGCAGCCAACATGGCCGACCCGAGTTCAATTCCTCCGCCCCTCTCAGAGATCCCGGCAAGCTACCAAGAGTATTCGATATGCCAGACACAGTAACAACAAAGTCTCCAATAGAGACGTTACTGGACCCGCTCGAGCAAATCGATGATCAACGGGAGGGCCTTTACCTTTACCTTTACCTTACCTCTAAAGCCAATCTCATGAATAATTCTAATCTTGTTTTCCTCCATTTAGCCTATGAATTTGGGTCTAATGAAAAGATATTTAATCCACTTTGAACTAATATTTCTATGTGGTATGAAATAGGTCTCCAATTTCATTTACTTTTCTGCCTGTGCTAATCAGTTGTCTCTGCACCACTTATTGAAGAAAGGATTTCCTTCCTCCTCCTTTTTCAGGCACTTAGCTTTTTGTCAAAAATTAGTTCATACATCTGAAAATGTAAATTTGTGCTCTCACTATATTGCTTTATTCTAGGACAACATTGTTTTGATTACTATAGCTCTATTGTGTAGTTTAAGGTCAGGAAATGTAATGCTACCCTTCTGTTTTTCTCAGGATTGCTCTGACTCTTTGGAGAGCCTTATTCCACACAAATTTTAGTGGATTCTATGCCATGTTCTTGAAAAATGCTACTGTAATTTTGATAGGAATTGAATTGAATCTTTGTAGTTCTTTGGGTAGAATGGTCATTTAAACAATGTTAATTTTCTCAATTCATGAGCCTACTTTTTAAAAACATGCAAATTTCATTCTGTTTTCTCATAAATGGTAACAGAGTTTTCAATAAATCTGCCATGTTTATTAAATTGATTCCTAGGTACTTAATATTTTAAGACATAATTATGTAAGTGGGTTTTCTTAATTTCTAGTTCATTGTTTACATATAAAAATTATATTGAGCTATGAGAAAAGATTTTTGTGTGTGGTTTTGTAATCGGATACTTTACTATATTGATTTATTTCTGATTTTGGGGGGCATCATTTTTGGGGTTTTCTGTGTGCATTGTGTTATCTGCAAATAGTGAGAGTTTAACTTCTGGTCTGAATCCCTTTAACTGTTTTTCTTGCATAGTTGTTGTAACTAGGACTTCAAATACTATATTGAGTTTTAGAATGGGAGTGGACATCCGTGTCTTTTGCTTAATATTAGAGATGAGGCTTTCAGACTTTTATCAATTAAATGTGGTGTTAGTTATAAATTTCTTATGTATAGCCTTTAGTAAATTGAAGAAAATTATTCCAATTTTGTTGAATATTTAAAATCCTAAAATGTATTTTGCTGTTGTCACTATCTCTGCCCTTGGGTTATAGACATAATTGCTTTAAAAGCTTTAAAAATTACTATCCCTGCATTTGTTATATTTATGTTGATAATAGTTAAGATATCTTTATGCATTGATCCTTTAACCATTATGTAATATACATCACTATGAATTTTAACTT